AAAAAAAAAAAATGGCAGCCAGCAACATTTCACGGAGGATGTGCACACCAAGTTAAATTTTACCTTGAACAGAAATGCGGGTTTTAGCACTCCAGGACAATTTAGTGATTGCACTAATTTTACTGTGAGGCGCAGATAACTCTCATCTGCTTAAACTCACTGTTGTCATCGATCTGGTCAGGGTTGGGCACCAGCCTGCAGTTGTCCGGACCCGGCGGCAGAGTATCTGGGATCCCGTCATTGTCATCGTCGTCGTCACATTCGTCTCCCACTCCGTCTTTGTCGGTGTCCAGCTGTGAGCTGTTAATCACTAGTGGACAATTGTCCTTGGTATCCTGGTGACCATCGCCATCGCTACAGAGGAAGTGACACAGAAACATGGCATTAACAATAATAAACCTCACAGAAACACACACGTTGACAGGTTTTTTTTGTTGTTGTTTTTTTACCTGTCTTGGTTTGTGTCGCACGAGTCTCCAACCAGGTCGTTATCAACGTCAGACTGAAAGGGAAAAGAAAGGGGTTTAATTCAACACGTCACACAACGGCTTTTCATTGTATTTGTTAGGACTTAATGAGACAGACCAACATGAAGTGGTGCGTAGCAGTGCAGTGGCAGGAAATGATGCATGATTTCACATGTTTGAGAATGTTTTTACAACAACAAAAAAAAAGCAAATTGTGGCATGAATTTGTATCAGTCATTCTAACCTTTGTGGAATAAGTTGTGGAAAAACTTTTGACAGCATTGATAGTTGCAAATCTTTTGGGGTATATTTCCATCAGTATTTGTATACTGAGGTTATTCCACCCAGTTAGTGGAATACATAACTAACTGGCTGATGTCTGAAATAAACTGGTTGCACTGGATTTTCTGAGAGACAGGGGCTCAGTTTATATGCACTAATGTATAAAAATGTTGTAACTCATATATCATTTTTATTCCACTATTACTTTCTGGTGGTCTATTGCATAAAATACTTTTAAAATACATTAAAGTGCAAGGCTGTAATATAACAACATATGCTTTGCTTTTATGAGATGACCTTGACATTACAGGCATGTCTGTGCGTGTGAAGAATTAGTTGCTCTATGGTTTATATCTATGTGACTTTGCTCCACCTGGTTTGGGTTGGGGATGTCAGGGCAGCTGTCGCAAGCGTCTCCCACGCCGTCTCCGTCCCGGTCCAGCTGGTCTCTGTTCTGGACACGCTGGCAGTTGTCCAGGAAATTTCTCACACCTATTCACACAACACACACACACACACACACTGGATAGTTGAATTCTTGTCAAATATGTTAAAAGAAAAAAAAAAATCAGCTTTAGCACAAAAGTACAATCATTTACGGATTTCACTAATGCAGTTATTAAGGTGGAAAGCCATATTGATGAGTCAAAGAAAAAAAAATGGACAGATGACTAAAATTAATTCACGTTCTAAAATGTTCACACCCTGTTCTTTGCACGCTGACCACTTGGGGGCACTGTTGTACTTGCTGTACGCGTTCATTCAGTTTGCGCCCTGATTGTATTTTTATTCATCGCATGGAGGCAGTAGCTGCACCACAAACCTAGAAAGGTCAAGCAGCTCAAACAGCAGTGGAGGAAGAAAAGCTATCTTCTGTCCTACAGGTTTTTTTTTTTTTTTAGGTGTAATCATACCAGTGAATGATCAAAGCATGTTTTTGCTCTTGGGTCAGCCTGAGATTGGATTTGACTTATTTTTCTCCACCTCCCTCCCCCCCCACCACCACCATTTTCAGTCCTCTTCCGCCTCTGCTTGCTTATGAATCCCATCACAGTAGTCTTCGGTGATGCATTGAGACAATGTGATTTGGAGGGATGTTGGACAGTCGCATCTGCTTGTCTCCTTTTTTTTTTTTTCCTTCTTTTACTTCATAAGTTAACATAAGAACATTTACGTGGAAACATGGAAGACGGCGCAGATAACTTTAAGAGCCTTCAGTGATGTTCGGTTATATAACGCAAACGTCAGTGTTGGTGATGTAATTTCTCTCCATACCGTCTCCGTCCATGTCATCATCGCAGGCATCTCCTTTGCCGTCTCCGTCAGTGTCCCGCTGGTCGGGGTTGTTCACCACGCGACAGTTGTCACAGGCGTCGCCGTGGCTGTCTGCATCGCTGTTCCTCTGATCCACGTTGGGCTTCAACCGGCAGTTGTCCTGCAGGAGACACGGACGTCTGATCCAAATTGAAAATTTTCACATTTTGCAGGTTACAGCCATGAGGATTATAAAGTCAGATGGTGTATGTCTTTATCATTTTTGGTCTTCTTTACATTCTTAGTACAGTCTTAGTGCTGGGTGGAGGACTTCTGTGAACACACACACACACTTGAAAGATTTGGAACTTTACTTTGACTTGGCCATCCTGAGCTAATGTCTAACGCATAAGAATAAATCCTATTAGTGCCCCTGTTTTATTTGACTTACGAGCTGTTTCACATTAGTAAATGACTTTGACGTTTCTGGTTGTAAAGTAACAAAATGCAAAAAGTTTAAGAGAACACTTTTGCAAGGCACTTTATTAATGAATAAAAAAAAAGGATGCTGATGAACTTCCAGTCAGATTTTGACTGACCTGCTCATTGGGAATACCGTCACCATCTGCATCGTCATCACAGGCGTCTCCCTGGCCATCCCTGTCGGCGTCCTCTTGACCAGAGTTGGGAACAAAGATGCAATTATCCTGCAGAGACAAGAAGGTTAGATAGAGTTCTTTCCTGTCGCCTTCGATAGACATCCACTTTGCGTACCTTTCTACAGTTTGCGTCCTTGCACTTGAGTTTTTCATCCGGGTATCCATCAATGTCCGTGTCTTTCCCGCACAGGTATCCGTTGCCCGCCCAGCCAATTCCACACTGAGAAAGCAAATGAAACACCTTTCAGAAAGAGCACCACCGAGTCAGACGCCGGAGTGCAGAAATGTGGGCTTTAAATCCTACCTGACAAGAAATAGAGCCATCTCTTTCTCGAATGCACTCGGCATTGATGTCGCAGGGGTTGGTCAGGCTGTTTCCACAGCTGAGCTCTGGCTCACAGCCCCTCACCTGATCTCCTGTGAACCCAGTCTTACAGCTGCCACAGTAAAAGGAGCCCTGTGGGAGGAATCAGGGCAGCTGTGAATGACTTGGAACAGCAATGTAAATCAAAATGAGAAGAAAACGCCCAGCATGATCCGCGTGTGTTGGCCGGAGTGCATTCTTACCACAGAGTTGTGACAGATTGAGTTTGCAGTGCAGCCACCGTTGTCGGGTCCTTTGCATTCATCAATGTCATCGCAGACCTGAAATGGGTAGAAAAGGAGCAAATGAGTCCAAAATGAATTACAGTGTTTGGCTTTGTGACAAATTCTACAAAACGCATTGTTTCAGTAATGAATCTGTTTAAAAATGTCCCCGACAGCAAAAAGCCTTCCCCTATGTGGAGTCGGTGAATAACAAATTACAGAGTTAATAATTAAAACGTAGAATATTGTAAATATTTGAACTCCACATGTATATTACATTATGGCTGCATTTAAAATTCAATTAAAAACAACACAGCTTGATAGTCCAAGACTTGATTTATGAATGTCTGACCTTACACTGGAAACTGTCACATTAGCTGCGAATAATATGCGCTAATCAGGTAGAGGTTCAGTCTTAAACTGACACATGGCTAACGCAAGTTTTTTTTTTCTGTGTTATAAAGACATAATGTTTTAAACTTATATCATATGAAATTACAAGAAGTTTGCTTGTCGTCGTGTGCAAATATCTTCTACAAACTCTTTTAGTGATTGAACATCTTTTAAACATCTTTTAACCTCAAAGCCTCAAAAATAAAAAATAAAAAATACAGGTTTGTGGAATAAGTGTTAAATGGGTCATGATTTAACACTGATTTGACTCAATTTATGATAACAATTTTATAAACAGATTTGAAAGAGGCTAATTGTCTTGTAATATGTTGGTTTTTAACTTAAAATCTGACCAAACAAAGATTGCATAAGGGGTTCCTCAAGGCACCACTCGCAGCTCGCCTTTTTCTCAGCCATCTTAAGTGTCTTTATGGACTACTACAACTTTCTCAGGATCTATTTTGATGGCATTTATAATCATCATATCATAGTCTTTGTATCGCAAAATATGAATGGGTGAGTCAGAGGTTTTTAAGTCAATGCAGGAAAGACTAAAATCACTATTTTTGTACCCAAAAATGCAAGAAATCAGCTCTCAGCTACAGTAGATGTGATTATAAAACAACCCACTGTCCTCTCAGTTCATTTATGCATATGCAGCAGACATTGCTTTGGGTTTTAGATTGTTAACCAGAAAACATGGTTTATAATGTTATTAATAAAACTTTGGGTTTTATTGTTAGGTTTTCAGTTGGGTCACATTAAAATTGAAAGTACTCATCAGACGTTTGACTGTAAATGTAATACCTTTCTGAAAGTTTCCAAACTGAGAAGCGGGTGTGTAATGAGTTCTTATGGCACGAGATCTTGTGATATTAAAATGTCACATTGTTTCTCCTCTAAGAGAAATCCACCTCACCTGTGCTACCTGGTTGCTGACAGCAAGACATTGTCTGGTAAATAAGTGTCTGAGATGTGAATCTGAGTGCTAACAATAGGGCTTTAACTGTGTGCAGAACATAATCTCTGAGACTCATATTTCAAACTAACAAAGAAAGAAAGAGTTCTTATGTTGTCTTGACAGAGCAAAGATTTCTCTTTGGATTGGCTCGCAGCATTCAGTTACAAAAGCTTGTGCTACTTTTACATTGTTTATCTGGCAGTATTTCAAGAGCATATTAAGAAACAAGGACAGGAAGTACGGTGGATGAATTGTAAACGCTGTGCCCATGCTGTTACTGGGTAAGACATGACAGCTAATGCTAAAGCTGAAATTGTTTTAGAATTTCAAGTCAGTGTTATACTGTTCAAGTAGTTAGCGAGTATATACAAAAAAAAATGCATTGCATTGTACAATGTTCTACCCTGATTACACATTGTTCACTTGTTTTTAAAATGAACAACAAATAGAAAAAAGGATTCTTAGTTTTCTATTGTTAAAGTCTTGTCTCATCTTGTTCTTGTGAATCCAAAATGCTGTTTTCTCTCTTTTTTTATCCTACTGAAAAGTCCTCTTAAATCAACTTAGCTTCCCCTTCCCCCCACATTTTGAGACATTTTCTAATTTTTAATCTTTACCTGCTTTTGTCAGAACCGGCTTTTAGTCAGCTATTTCTCTTGAGAATTCACAAGATTCGTTTATTCTGAAGATGAGTTTTAACTTTGAATGCAGTTAATGTTTGTTTGATGGAGACAAAGTGAAGATTTGAAGATTTGAACTTAGAGTGAAACTTTCAGTTGTGCGAAAACAGAAAGTAAATCAAATGTTGCAAGCTTAATAAATAAAATAAAAAAATCACACAAAGCAGTAGGTCGATTTCAGGTTTTCTTTTTGATTTGCTTTCAAGAAAAAAATAATCACTCAAAAAAAAAAAAAAGTGATTGTTAAATTGTGCTGCTTCCTTCTTGTTTAACTCATACCTGTTTGTTGGTTTGAGCAAACAAAATGCCCACGCCCTCCACCGGCAGGCCGGCGTAACCCAGCGGGCAGGCGTCGCAGCGGAAGCCAGGGGCGGTGTTAACGCACTTCACTCCGGGGAAGCAGGGGTTAAACTGACACTGCAGAAAAGGAGGACATGAGCTCTGCTGAAGCAGCAGAAATGTACGTGTTCCTCACAGGGCTTCTCTCTAAAAGTTTCTGGACCCGGTGACCTTTTTGCTAATGAAAGGGTTGAAAAAACAAAAAGAGAGGCTGAAGGGGCCAGCCCTCTGAAATGGCCCAGCACAAACAGAGAAACACACACCCACCTTCTTCTACTTATGTTCAGAAGATTTACGAACTTCTATCTCTTTCCAGCACTTTTACCTCTATGCCATGTTCGGGCCCTTGAAGTGTCATCAGACCCTATGCCTCTGATTGATGGTCCCTCTGACAGTTTCTGTTTGCACCTGCTTCTAAAAGTTCCCCAATATGGCCAAAAAAAATTATAATGAATCCTAAGAGGTATGGGACATTACTCATGATGCAAGAAAACAGCAATAAAAAAACAATAATCTGCGAGACCAATGTGTTTGCTTTGATTTAATGGACATCCCTGTTAGTGGTTTTCCTTTCTGAATAGGGATCAGTGGTGTGGAATTCACTGTGTTGTCACATAAGTAGTGACAACACCATCTGGTTTTTATTCATTTCTTTTTCATACTTCAGGATCTTGTGACTGCCAGGGTATGGATTTTCAGGACTTTATGAGTCTCCTGTAGTGATCTGACATTTGTTTGTCCAGTTAATCAAAAAGTAGATCATCCAGTCAGTTTCACCCTCAGTTTCATGCATCCAGAAGTAATACTTGTGGCAATTTGAACACAGTGGTAAACCTTAGCTGCATTAACTTGTTGTGTTCATGCAGCAAAAAAACTTTTGTCGTGTGCAAAAACATTGTGGTAATTAAAGTACTTAGACATAAATCTAAAGCTACTGCATGTAACAATTAATAACAGATATGCCGAAGGCAGCTCCTGATACAATATGGCCAAAATGTATAGTTATTTAACTGATTTAAATATAGCAGGGGTGGCCAAGTCCAGTCCTCGAGAGCCACCATCCTGCAAGTTTTAGAAGTATCCTTACTCCAACAGACCGGGATCAGCTCTACAGAGGCCTGATAACGAGCCAGTCATTTGATTCAGGTGTGTTGAAGCAGGGATGCATCTGAAACTTGCAGGATGGTGGCTCTCGAGGACTGGACTTGGCCACCCCTGAAATATAGGAAGAAGGGCAAACAAACCATTGAGTCAGACTTTACCTCATCAACATCATCACAGTTGAAGCCATCTCCAGTGTACCCGTCAGGACAGGGTGCACACTCCACACCATTCGCTGTCTCGATACACATATCATCGCGGAAACAGACACCAGGAGCACATCTCGGTTTCACCACCTCTGTTCCACCCAGACCTTGAAATCACAATCAAAAACACAGTTGTTTCACATTACGTCTATTTCTGGTGAATGAAACCGACACAAGAAAATGTTCTTACCACAAGCCTGACACTCTGAAATAGTGTTTCGGAGAAAAGATGTTTCCTTGACCTGAAAGAGATTGTCCGGTCGGAAGGTAAGTGCCGAAGAGGAAGGGATGGAGAAGGCTCAGAGAATCTGTTTGAAGTAAGTTACCTGCTGGATGAGAACGTCTTTCAGCTCGTTTATCACCTTTGTTAACTCCAGCATTTGATTTGACAGCTGCTTTGTGTTGACCCCTACAAGAAAGGCAATGTTATGTTGCTTAACCGGAACAACAGCGGGGGACATTCTCATTAACTGGATTCTAGATGTTGTTTTTATGACTAGGGATGTTGTCAGGGGAAGTATTTAGCCTTCTCATTGGGCAATTACTCACCAAATAGATTCTTACCTAAAGTTTGAACCGAATCTCTTTGCTGAAAATGACAGTCTTGCAATGATGCAACATTTTCAAACGAGTCCCCAACCACCAGTTTCAGCTCATCTAAGCTCTCCTGTTAGAGCAACACAAAAGGTTATGCTTTGTGCGTCTGTCTTTGAACACGTGAGAGACAGAAAGTTGGGCCTTCAGTGCGCAGTTATTGTAAGGAACATGTTACCTGATCCCTGGCTTGCATTGTCTTTAGCTCCACCATGCCGTACCCCGCTGGCAAACCCTGGAAGGCGGCAGGAAGATCCCGGACCGTCTCAACCAGCCTGCAGTCCAGATGTAGCTCCACCCCGCCTGGCCCCTGCTGCTGCAGACCCTTCAGGTGGAACAACAGCCGGTGCTGCTGGCCGTCCGCCAGCACAAGGTTGTTGAAGCTAACGGAGCTCATTCTCTTGTCGGTCCGCAAGTAACGTAGCACGGCTTCGAGAAGTTACAACCATGTAGGAGAGAGAAGAAAAAAAGAGGGAAAATATGAGAGCATTTACTTCCACAATACCACAGTTACATGCCGACATGTAAATTATGCTAAAATATGCTAAAAATGATCAAAATATTCTCCTTTTGCCAAATGGAGATCTTGGTTAAAATGAAAGTTATTTTGACATAAAGTTAATATACATGTAAATAAAAAAAGTGAGAATCTCTTCACATACACAATTTTTCTTCTGTAAACACAACATTGACCTTTGATTGTTTTTGCCTTGCATTTACTCCCTGTTGCATTTGATCAGTTGTCAAATAGCATTCAGCTGAGAGTTGTGCTGCTGAAAAACGCGGGTCAAAAATTATTGATCGGCGCAGCTTTCCAGTACCATCTCCTGTTTCTAGTCTACTTACCCCGGTTGAGCTTCCCCATTACGGTGAACTCAAAATACTTGCTGTTGTCCCTCGGGTTGAACAGGCCAAACAGTGTGGTTCCAGTCTTGGGCTGCAGCTTGAAGGTGGTTAAGATGAAAGCCTCATTCACCCCTTGTTCAGCCAAACCTCCCTGCAGCAGGTCTGGCAAGCAGTCAGGCGAGGTGAGCAGATCGTAGACTGCTGACAGGGAAAGAGAAATGAAGCACACAAGCAGCGAATGATGAGGTATGAATATTTTGCTACCTGCAGCCACGCTCGGGTGTAAACTCGCTTTGAGTCGACAAGAACGTGATGATGATGATGACCGAGTGTTTGTTGTTCTTGGAGATTTCTGTGCAAACTTGGCAGGATCAGAGGAAATACATAAAAATAGGACTTGAAGTAAATTAAAGCTGTGGACTCAAACCTTAGTTTCATGTCGGGTCTTTAATAAAGGTGACTGAGATCTGGGATATTTCTTTGAGTAAATATATGGTCAGAAGCATGGCAGAATTTGGAAGGCAAATGCAGAAGAGGAACAAAATATTACAAACCCCCTAACCCCCACTAATTTTCATGGTTAGAATTTCCCTTTAATGAAGTAACTTGGGAGTTGTTACGACCACAGAAGGATTGGCATTGAATCTTTAGTTCACCATCTGCAAACACTGTGAATACACAAGTACCATAAAGCAGTCAGCAAAGGCATCCGTTCAGACGGGGCAAAATTACTCCCAAATGGTTTCAAAGTCTAGCCTTTTTTTTTTTTTTTTTTGCAAGACTCCCTCAGATGAAAATTCTCCTTTTTTTACTTTGAAACATATATTTCTAATTCATGGGACAGAAATGTAAGCCATCACATGGGAGTGAGTCGCTGAATGTATGGTTTTTTTGATAGCTTTTTAGGAAAAAATATGCTTCTTTTTTGTATGAAAGCCAAGTACAGCAGCTGTGTTTATGGTCAAACCAGATGAAGCTCACAAAACAAAATAACAAAGCAACATCTAGGCCCTTAGAGTATCTTTTACACGATAAACATATATACACCTCATGCAAAGATATGTTATTCATGAGTCTTCCAGACTGAAGGCGTTTAAGGGTCAATGGTATCGTTCACAAGAAGATACCCAGAGAAAGTATTTCATTTCACCCTCCTGATTAACACTCAAATTTCAAGCTCCATAAAACAAGATCAGTTCAAAGCTATAAAGCAATCCTGAGACATGTCCTACCCTCAGAGGCAGCACATAAATCAGACACGGTTAGTTTATTATTAAGGAAACAAATGGTAAAAACATTCTTTGGTTTGCTGCTTACCTAATTCTTTGCATTTGAGCTTTAGTGTAAAAAACAAAACAAATACAAAAATAGAGATTTTTATTCCACTCTTTTGTTTTTAAATGATGTCAAACTGGATGAGTAATGGCAGAAATAAATCATCAGCATTGGAATACACTTTACATAAACTGTCTGACATCTCATTAGGCAATTACTATGCTGGCTAATGAAAATGGACTGATATAAAACTCAAGGCTCTCATTTATGCTTTTTGCTTGAAAGTAAAAATGTGAAGTCAGGGTTAAGGTGCTTTTATGGATATTAGTGGATAATACTCTCACATCTTGCAGCACATTTTTTTTGTTATTATTTTAATTCATTAGAATCGCTTAACTACTATATCCTCAATGCAATTTGCCACAATCAGTGTGTGAATGTGTGTATGAATGGGTGAATGACTGATTAAAGTGTAAAACGTTTGAAATCGTCGAAGCAGACAAAAGTGCTATACAAGTAGAGGCCAATTACCGCTTATTATTTATTTTTATATTTTTGATGTGTGCTTTTCATGTTATGCTTTTCATGTTTCCACTCCTGTAAAATTAAAAACAAACCTCGATAAAGCGATGTCACTTTTGGAAAAGCGGTTTTAGTCTTAATGAATTTTTTTTTGTTGCTGGTTAAATTATATCATATATTGAGCTCAGCAAAGATGTTCTAATGGATGAATATGAGGATAATTAGGCATTTTCTTATAAAATCCTTTGGTGTTCCTTTTTCACAATAAAACTGGCAGCAACAACTTATTGCAGAAGGAGCTTTTATCATGTTAGCTAACATTTCTTAGCGATTTCTTAGGACTATTAAATCCTAAGAACAATCTAAGCAGCTAATAAAAAATAAACACTATTGGAAATTATTACTGGCAAACATTCAGTTTTCATGTGGTACATAGAAAGAAAATTTTATTTCAAAGTTTCTTTAAATATGTATTCCAGTGTTGACAGGACTCACTTCCTGTAGCATCTAGCTAGCTGTGTTACAGTGTTAAAGTGACAACATTAGCTTGTAAGTCAGCAGGAACAACAAGTGGTGAGTTAGTCACAGATTTATTTATTTTTTTGTCTGTAATGGTTGTATGTCAACATTTAGAAGATTTTTTGTTAATTTGGTCATCTTATTTTAAAACATAGCGTTTCTTTTCTACTGGTTCGCTAAAGTTACTGGTTAGTTGCTATATCTGGTTAGCCTTAAATCCTTTCTTCTCAATCAAACTGTTTAACAATTTCAAACAGCTTAGGCTCAGATTACTACTCAATCCTAAAACCATATTTTTTAATCGTGCTACCGAACTATACAAAATACATACTTTCACTGCATGAAGGCCTCCTTCTCCCTTCTCATTACATCATTTATTTATTTTTCAACAGAGATTTTTTTTTGTACCTCCTGAGGAATTTCAAAACTCACCAACTTCAGCAATCAGCAAAGCCATTGCACCGATCATTCCTATTAAAATCAAACTGGAGTAATAGTTTCAAATTGGTTCCACTCAGTGAATTCCAGTCAAGCAAGCTGCAATTTGCAAGGGAAATGACAGCTGATTAATTTGGACCGGTTGTATACATAACGCCAGGCACCACGGGACTGTGGGGATTAATGAGTGCTTGAAAGGTGAGCCATCAATCACCTGGTGTGATCAGTACAAAACCTAAGAAATGCAAACATTTCACGGTCAGTGGGTCTGTTTTTGTGTGGGACTTTGAAGATGAGCGCATGTTGGATTTCGAGTGCGTGTCAGACACAGAGAGAGTGGAGAGTGTGGAGTTCAGAAAATGATCATCCCTGATTATTCCCGTGTGTTTGACCAAGCTAGGAATTCATTTAAATCAACGTGAGCCAGAAAGCTGAAACTCCTCAAAGCTGAACTAATCAAACAGTTCTGGCTCGCAGGACTTCAATAGGACGGTTTTTAAAACTTCTATTAAACCGTCTTCGTTCGTTTTCCCACTTCCTGTCAGAAACACAAAGAGTTATTTGACTACCTCATCTCCTCAACAGTTGACAGGAATATTTAGCATTTTTCTCACACCTCTGTGAGTGTCACTCAGAACGTCTGAGCCTTTATGTTCTCCGGCTCTGCAAATGATATTCGCTTTCACAGTGTCTGCTTCACCATTATCCCATTAAATCTAACAAATGTGTGGTGAGGCAGTGAGTGGCGGAGCCATTAAATCTTCTCTGACATATTAGGGAAAATTGCATAATAACAGTGAATTAAAAAAAATACTTCCAAATAAAAAGGATGCCGGTATTTTATTTGTTTCTGTGGGCTGAAATTCAGACTAAGCACGTTTAAAAGCAAGCTTTACAAAGGAAGCATTTTACTCCAGCTATTTAAGTTATTATTGGCAATACCAATAAAACACAAAATGAAATGATAACACTCACCCAAAGCCTGGGCCTCTGCATGTAAGCACAGGTTTAATAACAGCTGCGAGAGCAGAATGATGAATGTCCACAAAATCATTTCAGAGTCAGACCAGGTTCTCTGCAGAAGCTTATCTTGCACTGGTTTCCTTTTTTTTTTTTTAGATTAGAAGTAAGCCAAGCTTGACATGTCCAGTCTTTCTTAAACTGTTGACTATTTTGTGTGTATGTATCTGATTTGTGAATAAGAAAGACGGGGGAGATCGTAGGAGTGTTGCTAAGGGAGGAGCATTGGGGCTTGAACCTGCTTTTAAACCTTCCTCAGACTGCCCCATGCAGAGAAGGAGTGACCAGGGGAAACTCTTGGCTCCTAGCAGCAGATGCTGATTCCTCAAGGCTATTTCACAATTCCCCCCCGATCACGAGCAGCTCCTGATTCACAGGATCCCAGGTTAACGAGCAAAACGGTATATTTAGAAATATGGGGTCATGCTTGAGGGGATTCTCTGAAAATTTGATTTCTATATTCAGACAGTGTGAAGAGCTGGGGAAATTTTTTTTACCTCCCTTCCAGAGGATTAGATGTAACACCTTTTCCAAATGTCCCAGATTTCCTCTCCTGCCGTTGGGCTCTTGCAGGAAAGAAGGGCTCCAGAACTCACACCTTAACGAGCCGTGTTAACCAGCTTCAGACAGGTGGCTGGCTCACAAGGCGGCCTGGTCGTCGGCATGCCTGGGGAAGGCGATGAGACTAAATTCTTACCTAAAGTTTTGCGTCTTTTGCACGAAGTTCGTGTTTCACTTTTATGTCATAAAAGTGTAAGCCAGTTGGTTGGCCTGCTGCTTTTGAGCCCCCAAACCATAAACAATATTTGCCAGAAAATGTTTGAAACGTTCATTCTCGAAAGTCGTCTGGGTCACCACATGGTTTTACAAACAAACACAAACACGAGTGTCTATAGCAACAAACAGCAGCAAGTGACTCATCGTTTCCATACATCTAGAGGTTGTTCTGCGTCTGGGCTGTTCTTTGTTGTACATTGACGTGCACTCCATCCCGGGCGCTCGGGTGGATTTTCAAAATGATCCTTTAAAGAAGGCCCCCACAGACCCCCGGTGCACGGCTGGCAGCTGCAGCCAAGATCCCAACAAACCACATCAGTTTTCTGGAGAAGCAGGGCTGACTCACGTCACGGTGCGGTGGATGAGGTCAGACAGTGAACAGTGCAGCTGGCGATGAGATAAAACCAGACCTCAGATGTGTCTGACAGCATCCCTTGACTATTTTTATTCGTAATACTGATATGAGCAAACCCTAAGACCCTTACACACGGTCTGAGCTTTATTTCTTGTACTGTACAGTTGTAAATCACATTAAAGAGAGCGGTATGGATGTAACTCAATGAGTCAGAACAAGCCATGGCCAAACCAAGAAGAACATTTTCACGGCAATGAGTTCTTTTTGTTCTCCCCAGACAAGGCTAAAAATGAACAGCCTTGTGGTGCAGGTCAAGATGACAAACTGTTTGAAAAATGAAAAGTTAACAGTGTTTAACCCTCTAAAAGTTTGAACCCCCACCAAAAACTGTCAAATAACACATTGAACTGTTTTGAAATAAAATATATTTTGGTGAAATGCCCGGTTTTCTCAGTTTACATTTCATTGCAAAGGCTAAATGTATATATTTATCTTTTGTAATATATACAAGATAATTATCTTCGCTTGTCCTCTCGGGTGCATTTATCCATCGGCCCGTCATGCCGATATTCCCATATAGAAATTGCATTGAGAACATTTTGGTTGGTAGAGTCTGCTATTGATTTTCCATAGTCATAAGAAAATGAAGAAAGTGTGCTTTTAGGAAATGTACATCTATGAATATAAAATTGGACCTAAAGATTTCCAAATGCATTGCATATATATAAATATATACCCAATTCATACAAGCCATTATAAATTAATCTGCTAAACTCCTTCCAAAACCTAAAAGGGCAATAACAAGAAAGATGCGTCACAGTTTATGGACGCCATGTTGCTGTAGGAGCCCTACACCGCCCCCTAGAGTCTAGCAGAAAATGGTGAGGACGAGCTGCACTGAGTGACTACTGCAAAAGTTGTCGGTCTGATTCCATATGCTGTTCTGATCAGCTACAGTAATTATTGCCTGTCTCTGCGCTCTCCAACAATCCCCCCAAAAACCACAGCAAAAATAAGAAACAGAGGGCAATTCATTCTAAAGAACCTACTCTTGTGTAATAAATACTATCCACAAGAACCAAGTAGGAAAAATCTTCAAACCTACCAAAATACCAACTCTTCTAATTTACTTCTCCCTCCGTCAAATCTCCGGTAGGATACTTGCCTTCAGTTTTTGCCATCTATAGATCACAAATGAACTTGTATTTTAAACACTCTGACCTCTACTGTGGCTTTTTATTGTCTCTCTGCTGTTGGATCTCAGAACAAGCAACAAGCTAATTTTCTGAGAGTTCAATGCTTGAAGACTACTAATGCCCTTGAGTGATAAAATGACTGCTAGCTGAATAAATCAGGCTCTTAGGCATGTGTGTCAGAGTGAGAATTACTGTTTATCTTGCATCTTCCCGTGTTGCCCCGTGATGGACAGGCAAATTGCCCAGAGAGCACTCCACTTATTTTCCATCCACCCTTGGAGATTGATGCAAGTTTCCCCGACAACTTTGTAAGATTCAGAAATTACAGTATCGCACTGAGAATATTCATACATTAAAACTTGCATTAGAAACTTTTTGAAATCTCGTGTTTGCGGGATGGACCCAGGATTTTACAGCAACAGCTGGAGGTGACCATGATGAGTACACCTTGCTCCTTTTGCTCAGTCCTCAAGTGCTCATTACGCTGTGGGACTCAGAGTGTCACAAGCTGTGATCTGTCCAACCCGATGAGGTTATGTAACAGCGGTCCATCAGCACATCAGAGGGCTCTGATCCAACACCTCATTAAATCTTCTGCATCTATCAAAATCTTACCCCAGCCCAAAGATGGGACGCGCTCCAAAACTTGAAATTGCAGCATTAAGTAGCCTGATTTTTAAAATGTGTATGTATATTTGAGTAGTTCTGAACCTAAGGCAATGGATTCGTGAAATGACCCACATCCTGTACCATATTTAGTCTCTGTGCTCTTCAGCCAAATTGGCATTTCATGGTGGATGAAACACTTGAATTTCCTGGAATTGCCTAACACAGAGTAGAGGGAATGAATATAAACCAGCCATCAAATGGTTCTGGCTCAAAGTCAAAATTTATTCTAAGAAGAAGAACTGTGTTTTGGGTTTGTTATTTTTACACCACTGACAGCTTGTGTCCTGTGTCCTTTTATGTGTTTCTGTGAGCTGGAGTAAATGCTACCTGCTCATTGGGATATTTTGTACCATTTCTTTGGAAGAAGCAGGAAATCATTGCTGTAGTTTAAAAAAAACCCCATCCCTTTCACCTTACTGAATCACTTCTCCATAATTCTCTGCAAAATCACTCAGGAGTATTTGCGTTGTGGACACGGTAACATAAAGCTGCACGTCTTAGAAAACCGTGGCTATTAAGATGAAGGATTAATGGTGGAAGACGTTTTCTGAGAAATAAGTGCAGGGAACGAACACATAATTTCTAAAACAACAGACAGTGTGGTTTAAGCATCTTAGGAAGTTATTCGGTATTATGCAAGGGTTCTCGATAAAAGCCCCCGCAAACCCACTGTCTGACTGATGGCTTCTCCAAGTCTAAACTATGAGTTCAGTTTCAGATAATTTCAGAAGTTGCAGCTGCTCTTCCAGTCATTCACAGCAGCTGCTTCAGATTACTTATTCGTTTCACCCTCAGTGATTGTTTCACAGACTCCCAGACACCTCCAAGTGTAGAGAGACACAGTTATAAATCACCTCCATCGATACTTGACACTAAGTCAGTCACACTGCTCGGCACATACATCCTTGATTTGAACAAGAACACCTCTGTGTATCCTTTTGGCACTTTTTTTTACTGCTCTCTTTCATCTTTTCTTTTAGAAAATCCACTCTGCAACTGCTAATGGATATCGTGCGAGGAACTCTTCAGAAAATAGATCTTATAAATCCATCTGAATCTTCTTCATCTGCCTCCATTAGAACTCATGAGAAGATTCTGACATCTGACAAAAGTTCAGCTGTCAAATCTCATGGGAGAATTTGCTACTACTAGCTAAACTTTTGCGCCACAAAGTCAAGATCCATGTTTGGCGTAATAACAGCAACACTAAGCATCTCCAAAAGAACAGCATACTTATAGTTAAACATGTTGGTTTGACAGAAACATTATACAAAAACCTCAGGAAGGCTCAGGACAAGACATTTCTTCAAAACCTGACAGATTGTGAGAACTTTAGAAAAGGTGAAGTGAGCAAATGTCTAAATGACAACACAAAAAAACCCCTTTTCAGACTGAAGTAACTTTACAGGGTAAAGCATTTCTTTAAGCGTACACACAGTTATGCAAACAGATTATTGCAGCTTTTTCATATTTTCAATAACAGATTTATTTGTTGTCCTGTAAAATTCTACAGAATATTTCTGACATAAAAGGTGCAAAAACAGTGTAAATGGTTTAGAGAGGAAAGTAATGGGAGTAGGGGCCTTTATTAGTCACCCAAATTTCATCTCACTCACTTTCGTTTTCACAAAATTTTTCATAAAGGTTGCTCAAAAGCAAAACACGAGTGGAACCGTTTTCAGGAAGCGACAGAAAAAAAAAAACACACATACACACACACACACCTACGTGATCCCGAGCAGCTTGTTTACACAAGCGCAGACAGCAGCGCATTGTGCTTCACTGAGTCTTATTCCATGTGCTCTTATTAGTCCCTCAGACTCCTGGCACACCGAGACCGGCCGTGTCTGAGCTACAAAGGTCCGCAGTGCAGAGGGAAACCGAAAAGAGGAAAGGGGAACACACTGTGTCATTTGTTCAGACACAGTGCAGCTCACGTTCATGCCCAGGCCACCTTCACCCTGCATGACTGACTGCTGGGAGGAGAAAAGAGCTGTATACCTACAACCGCATGTGGAAGCAATTATTTTCCCTTCCTAGTGTATAATTACGTGCAGCAGATACAAGATGACAAGCACATGTTTAGCGAAAAAATGTTTTTTCAAGCCATCCAGTTCAATCTTGTGTGTTAGGTCAGATTTAATGATACAAATGGGTTTTGAAAAGAGCCAGGGAATTGCAGAAAGCTTTGGTAATTTGGAATGTATTTAGGTAAATAACTGATATTTGTACTAT